AAAAACTCCCTATCAAAACAAAAAGGAAACTTCACTGCTTTTAACAAAATATCCCGTGGAGGTGCTTGAATGGATTTGTTTAGAAGATTCTGATTTCTGTGGAACAAACTTTCTATGAAAAGATGTTACCAAATCTTTTGGTTTTGCCTAATTCAGTTAAATGTAAGGTTTTATTGTTCCATAATCTCTTACTTTTGGCACTCAATGAGAATTTGCCTTTGACTGCCCTTATCTAATGTGTACTTTTTGGAGTGTCATTATATATACATATGCTCAAGAGAAGGAAATTATGAGGCAAATCTTCATGCTTCAAACTATATGGAAGCCTTAAGTCAGACAGCAATGTGCAAATGCTTCTTCATTTCTTAAGTGGCCACCTAAGTCTAAAACGAGCCTAGGTGATTTTTTGTGATGCAGAACTTAAGCCATCAATCTTCTGTAAACTGAATTGGCTACAACAGGCATGTCCTGTTCTATTTCTAGAACCAAGAGGTCCAGAAAGGGCAGTAACAAAAAAAGTTCTCCGAAGATCCTGCTTGATTTCATCAAGGTTTCTTAATTTTGGCACAAGAGTTAATGCTTTCCAGGCACAAGCTTTGTTGTGTCTTTGTACACTGCCTGTTTCCTCAAGTACAATATTGGAAGAATAAGTGGAAGGAGAATATGTTATTGATTTAGCATAATCTAGTAATTATTTACTGAACTGCAAATCAGTAGTGTCTTGACTATATATTTATGCATATTTTCACATAGCCTAACTCTAACGAATGAAATAGAGGTATATGCATGGCTGTAGTTTAATTAATGGATTCCAATAAATATATCTGTTCTGAGCCTTCTAAGTGTATCCTGTAGTACCTATATCTTGGAGGTTTTTCCTGTTATCCTGGTCATTACAGTGCTTTGATTAATTCAGCTAATGGGAAAGCACCTAGTAGAAGATGCACCAGGAACAAGGTGGTTCACCCCACCTCTAAACTGTGTTAGCAAAACTGTATTGTATGATTTAGTTTATTTTTCAACAATATGTTTCTGATATGACATGAAGCATGATTACAGTCCTTCCATTTAAGACATCTTATCCTTCCCATTATCTGTATTTATTTAACATAAGTTTTCAAATGTGTGTGTGTGTGTGTATAAAAAAATCCCCAAACAAACAAAAAAACCAAAAAACCATACGTCTACATACATACATACATATATACATATGTATATATATGAATATATATGACCTTTCAGATCATTGAGTCCAGCTGTTAACCCAGAACCGCCAAATCCACCACTGAGTTATGTCTCTTAAGTGCCGCATCTATACATCTTTTGCCTATCCTCGCGAATAATGACTCAACCACTGTCCTGGGCAGCCTGTTCCTGCCAGAATTTTGTTTGGAAAGTATGGGAATTATTCCCAATAACCAATCAAAACCTCCATTGCTGCAACTGGAGAGGCTGCTTCCTCTCCCGTTATATGTTACTTGGGAGATGGACTGCCACCTGGATACAGCTTTTGTTAGGTGGCTTTAGAGAGTAGTAAGATCCCCTCAAATCTCCTTTTCACCAGACTAAACACCCCAGCTCCCTCAGCTGCTCCTCACAGGACTTGTGCTCAACACCCTTCACTAGCTTCATTGATACCTTAATAATTAAGGGAAAAAATACTGCACATTCAGGACAAAATTCTTAGAGGAAAAAATGAGTGAAGTTTTAATTCTAAGTATGTAAGGTAGATATGGTTTATATTGAACATTATTAAAGGATTTGAAGAAAAATAAATGGAACATTGCTTCCATGTATGAGAATGCCAGTGCTGCACAAAAAGCTGACTGAGCTGTAATGTGTCTTACATAGGTAAACCATCTTTATTATTAAAAATCATACACATGTAATACTGTATGTATCACTTTCTGCTCACTGCAATCCCACTCAAGGAAGAAGAAGAAAGAAATAACTTTTGTCCCAAGGTATTATAGTTTCAAAAAATTTAAATTTATGCTGCAATTCAAATAATTATTCTGGCTTGGTGAATCCTATACTGCTAAATATTTGCTTTAGCTTTCAGTTATTTGCATTAAATGGTGTGTATAATAAGCTTTTTCATGTATTCTTAGGTCACAGACAAGAAGTATTGGCAGTGTCTTGGTCCCCACGTCACGAATATATTTTGGCAACAGGAAGGTAGGGATGTTGCTAAACTGTTTAATGCACTGGAATATTGGTCAGTAAACATTTTATGTATGCTTTATGCAGATTTAATTCAAATGCATTTTTGGAGTTAATTTTCTTCATTGATTTTTTTTAGGGGTTCACAATTTTATAGCTTTTCCCTAGAAAAATGAAACCTGAAGAGCTGTACAAATCATGCTTATTTAATACCAAGTTTGTACAGAATTTTGAAATACTAACTGTAACTACTGGTATAGGAAAATGGTAGAATACTAAGGAGATACTCACTTCTTACTGTTTATTAGTGTGTGTATTTCTAATCTGTGTTGTAATAAAGTAAAACATGTCTAGCTCAAGTTACCATCATGGTAATGACACTTACATGAAAGAGAATAACTTGGGTAGTTTAGCATATGTAACTTTCCAAGCACAGTAATTCAGTGAATATGTTTTGTATGTTGATAGTTGTAGACTTTTTTTGTTTTCTGTCCAGACATTTTTAATGTAAAAAAGTCCTCTTGGCTTTTCTATAACTTTCATGTATGTTAGCTTTTGATTGTAGTGTGACATTTCTCGCTTTTTAGATGCCATGTTTTTTTTTTTCTCTTGCAGAGAAGAATAGCTATTTCATAAGCTTAGTGGAATGTTTTCTAGAAAGATTAGTGAAGCTACCAGATCTGCAGACCTTTGGTTTCTGAAGTCAGGCTTCAGAAAGGCTTATCAAAGTTGGAATATGTTTTAACAGTGTGTTGTTTAGAGGTTTGTTTGTTTGTTTGTAGGGTTTTTATTGTTGTTTGTCCTGTTGTAACAGATGAAAAATTGTTTGCTTGTGGACAACTTCTGTACCAGTCATACAAAATATCTGTGATAACAAAAGCCCAAATTCTCAGACCACTATTACAGACAATGCTGCAGTGTGTAGCTACAGTTTAATCAACAGAAGAATTAGCAAGTTTATTCCCATGCTGTGTATGTATGCAAGGATGTTATATTATAAACAAAGAGACAGTGTATTGTGTTAATAGATGAAGATTCACTCTTAGGTCCTGATAGTATACCAGTTAAAGTTATTAATACATGTAAATGAAAGTCTGAAGTCTGTCTTAAAATATTTTTAATGGATTTCTGTTGACTTGAGTGTGCCCACATGATGAGTGGTTCAGAATAGTTGCTGGACCAAGGTGAGTGCCAAGTGAGTTGACCAAAGACAGTTCCTGAGCTGTCCTGAATTGAGTCGTGCACTCAATTTCCCTAATTTATGCAAATCTGTTTTTCTTAGTGCTGATGGTAGAGTAAAATTATGGGATGTGAGGAGAGCTTCTGGGTGTCTGAGTACACTTGATCAGCACAATGGGGAAAAGTCCAAAGCATCTTCTGAGGCAGGTAATGCAAAATATAACTGGTGGTAATTCATATGTGACTAGAATCATTCTTATATTTCATGAATGTTTTGAATACGAAGACCAGCAAGGAGAGAAGTGATAATCCAGTTGTTACATAGTACATAACAGAGGCCGTTCAGCTTTGTTTAGTTACTTCTGTTATAGAGCTGGTGTTTGTTGTCTGGGACGTTTTTTAGAGGGATTGGCTTAACAACAGCAGTGTATCTGTTCTAAATGGCTTTCCTCAAAAAAGGAAAATTCTGTTATGTTTTTTGTGAGTGGAAGAATTCATTCATACTGTGGATTAGCCTTTATATACATATAAAATTGATTGCAATTCAAGAAATTATTGAGAGTAAAATGTTCTAAAGAAAGCTAGTACTTGGTCAAAAAAGGAGAAATATTGTTGAATTAATAACAAAATTCGATGTAACTGCCAAGATAACTGGTGCCATTTTATACATTTGAATACCACGTTGACTTGTTCAATCACAACATCTTACTTTTCAATTTTATTTTTGTCTGACAGGTTCAAGATTATTTTTTTGGTTATCTAATATCAATCTTATAGGCTAGGGTATTTAATTTTTTGAAATGTATATGAACTAAACCAGTATCAGGAAATAATTATTTTCTAATAAAATCTTTAAAAAGCAGTTTTACATACTTCTACCTAAAAGGCAGGTATAAATTAGGTACTGCAGTATAATACAGAGAGACCTTATCCTGGTTGCTTCACAGCTGACCAAAAGCTACAGCATGTGGTTGAGGGCACTGTACAAATGCCTCTTTGAACACAGGCTAGGGGCTTCAGCAACTGGATGATAGATTGAACAGATCTGGCCCTTGAACTGCACCCTGAGGAGCATTGCTGGTGGCTGTTAGCTGGCCAGATGCTTTTCTAAACAAAAAATTTAATTATTTTTAACTAAATGTTGCTATTTAAACAGCACTTCCAGTGCCCCACATTAGTAGAGTAGTAGATGTAAAGATGTACACAAAGTAGTAATTCTTCTCTAGAAGCCTTATACCTGAGCTCTTTTTTCTGGCAGCAAATACTGCTCACAATGGGAGAGTTAATGGTTTATGCTATACAAATGATGGACTTCATCTACTAACCATTGGTACAGATGATCGGATGCGACTCTGGAACAGCTCCACTGGAGAAAATACCTTAGTAAGTTTTCAAGGAACTTCAGTTGCTTTTTTACTTCCACTTGATTTTCGGAGATTTATAATTTGTGCGGGCGTCAGTAGAAGTTGGAATTGGTTTTTTTTAAAGGATGTAGCTGCTCAATTTCATCACTAGAAGATTTGGTGAAAATGTTTTTCTTTTCTTCTAGTTAGTAGAAAGAAAAAGAGTATGAAAGAAGCCTGGATCTACTTAAAGATTGAATGTAATAGCTCTAAGTTTATGAATTTGTGAATATCACTATAAACATTTCATACAGGAATAAAAACTTTAATAAGCAGTGACTGTTGGTAGAAAGTTTTGGGCTTTTTAAACTGTTAGTTGCCAATGGACTATCCATAGAGCAGTTGGCCATACCTGAGAGTTTCACTGGCTGCCTGGCTTTCCTGCAACTCTTTTTCTGCTTTTGTGGAATCTCTCCTGTGGAGTTGCATGGCAGTGTTAAAAGTATTTATTCATCCATCCTTTGAGATTTGTGTTGTAATCACACAGCAGCAGGAATGAGGAGTGAGAAATATCTTAAACCTCTACTGCTGTTCCACTCCTTCCAATGGCTTGTGGATTCTTTTGTGCTGAAGGTTCTTGTTTTAATTTTCTGTTCAGTAAAGAAAATTGTTTTCTTTGTTTATTTTGAAAGAACATACTAGGTAAGTCAGTATCCATGGAATTTTAGTAAGCTGTAATTATGGTCTGACATTGCTATTAGGAAAGAGAAAATTTTCTATACCTCCGAAGTCTTTTAATTCTACTGCTTGGTTTCAGAACAGAGAAATAATAATTCCTTATAGATATTTAAATAAAAGGACTTCTTTCCATGCTACCCATATTTGCCAGCTTGTTCTCAACACTTCATAAACAGACATCTTTCTGCCTTCAAATCACCACCACCAGCAAAGTACATAATAGTTTGTTCACTCACCTATTACCAGCTGGGTCACTGGGTTTTTTTGTTTTTCTGTGCCTGTTAGTTCATTGACTTGTTTCATAAGCTGTTTTACAGTTTTCTAATCTGGTGGAATAGCTTGACCCAGTGCTTTTCAAGTCCTGAGTTATGTTGTCCAGAGTACTGTATTTTCACACATTGCCCAGAGGTATTGCTTAAAATAATTTTAAGTCATCAGCAAACAAATATTTATTTGTACAAATAATACAAGTTCACACTATAGTCCTTTTATTTCCCTGACTGGCCCGTCCTTTTGACCTAAATAATTTTTTTAAAATATCTTCAAAAGGTATAGAAATTAAGCCATACCTATGATTTTCTTTTGACAATGTCACTGTTGTGTACAAAGTTAGCAAAACTCTCTGTGTTAATCTTAAATCCCCCTACCTACCTAAAACTGAAGTCTAGAGTTCAGAAAAAAAATTCCCACTTTCACAATGTGAAATCTTTTGACTGTAAGCTGAGAAAAATTTGTATAGTTCATCAGGTAATATTCTAACACAACACATTTTCTTAATGAAAAAAATAGTCAAAATTGTAATGTTTTGTTTTAATTAAATTTGTTTAGAGGAAGGCTATACTGTTTCTATGAATATATTTCTATGAATATTAAGTTTGGAAACTTCACTTTCAATCTTTTGTGAGATTTTTATCTGTATAAAACTTGCCAAGAGCTTGAAACTCTATAAAACTCTACCTTGAGACATTAATACAGGTGTTAATAAGGTGCTTTTATACTATTAATTTGCAAGGCTTCCCTTATACTTCATCAGTAAGGTCTTTGAATTTTTTTCTATCAAAGCTATGCTGGGAGAAAACAGTCCAATATTCTTTTGTTGAACTTCTAAATCGTTTCCTCGTCTCATATCTTTTGTTACTAATATTAGAGCTGTTACTTGTTTAGGTTTTTATTGCTACTTCGAATTGGAAAATACCGTTCTTAAACCACAACAGGTGGTAATTCCTGAACCAAGTCTAATTCCAGTGAGGATTTTGGTGCTTGATGCAGATCTGGCCTGCAAATCCTATTTCTTAGTGTGGAATTGCTAATTTTTAGGCATTTCTTTCTTTCCCTTTCTTAAAATTGATATTAAAGAGTAAACTTTATTGAACATAAAAATAATTCTCTTGATAGACATCTTTAGTTTGAAATATCAGGAGATGCATTAATATAACCCAAAATTAATTTTATTGAGGATTAAACATTAAGTAAAACAGACCTTTTCTTAGAGTTTCCTGTGGGTTTACTTAATAGCTGACTGTGTAATCTATGTCATCTCTCATTTTGCAGGTGAACTATGGCAAAGTCTGTAATGAAAGTAGGAAAGGACTCAAATTTGCCATCTCTTGTGGCTGTAATCCAGAGTTTGCCTTTGTTCCATTTGGAAGTACCATTGCTGTTTATACAGTTTTCACAGGAGAACTGATAACTATGCTTAGAGGGCATTATAGTACTGTCAACTGCTGTGTATTTCAGCCTCATTTTCAGGTAAGTAAAATACAAGAAGTATTCTAGAGGAACAGAAATATTTATGCAGATTGACATACCATTTGCACTATAAAAGCTTTCACTTTTCAGGGGTATGCTTTAATCAAAGATCATTAAAGGGAGTACTGTGGTTTACATGTCATCGAGGAAAAGTTTCGTCAAGTTTTTTGGATGATGTTTTCTGCATTAGGTTCCTTCCACTGCTTGTTTTGTCTCACATACGTAACTCCTCAATATATCTTTAGTAATTTTTTGGCTTGTGTAGTCATTAAAAAAGCATATGCAGGAAGGCTTTTGTTTTCTGTAAAACTGAAGAGGAGTTTTCTTTCCCAGAGATACCTGAGACTAATCACAGTAAGAAAGAATGTGAAGTGCATTAGTACTGCTGTGAGTACTGAGAAGGCTCTCAAGTACTTTCATAAGGTGATCTTGCTCAAATGCCTGTAGTTACACTTTGGATAAAGTGCTGACAACATCACGAGATTCTTAAATTAATCAGAGAACATTTCAGCTGAGAAATACCATAGCATTACAAGGACTCGTGGTACTGTCAGGCTTTTTTTCTTCTTCTCTGCCTTCCTTTCTTTACCTATCCCCCTCTGGTGTACTTTCCTCTTGTAATAAAAGACTTAAGGATGACAAATAACAGTGAGATACTTTACAACAGATTGTTCATATTGTGGCATGTATTGTGCCAAGAGAAGAATGGATGATAGTATGGATTTTCAGGCCATTGCATAGCTTGCTCTCATGTCCTAAGGATCATACTTCATGTTAGAGCTCCTCCTTCCTTGCCTGTTGTTTCTGAGTGTCAGGCAGAAATATTTGAGGCAGAAGAGGCATGTAGATACCTTTTCATGACTTCTCATACAATGCGTCATGGAAGTGACTCTGGTAGTGTCTGCTTTGAGTAGCTTTGACTGAACCACTGAGACTGTTATCACTCAAACAGACTTTACTGAAAATTATGGACACATTATGGACATGCGATAGACCCCATGCTAATAAGCCTTGCTAGACCTGGAAGGCAGTTCTGATATGAATAGTCAGTGAGATACATCAACTGCAATATTCATGTGGCCAATGCTTATCTTTTCCAGAATGTTCTTGAAAAGCTTTTTGTCTTTTCAAGAGTAGTATCCCAGCAAAACTTCTGGTGTGTTTATATAAAGTTATCTTTAGTCTTATATTTAATAAACTGAAGAGGTGAGGCTAATTAGGTCTGTCTGTAAAACATTATTTACTCATTTTACATGTGGTGTCTCTACCTTGGCATCCATGGTATAGGATCACTCGTGTGCACATCAGTCACTGTATTTAGAAGTTTGTAATGTCAACAACTTCATTTGCTTATCTGATGTGACTCTTGATTCTTTTTCAGAAGCACCCTTTTTCAGAGTTCAGTTCTATACTGTAGAATTGTGACTGGATTTTTTTTTTTTTTTATGTTTTGCTTTCAGTTGTATTAAATAGTTAGTCTGAGAAACAACATTGCTATATGTCATGATTTGACACTGGCCAAATGCTAGGCACCCAACAAGAGTTGTTGGCTTACCTTCTCCTAGTTAAGGATGGGCAAAGAAGAGAGGAAAAAAAGATTAGCAAGGGGCTCAGGAGTTGAGATAAGGATTGGGAGAAAAACATTCTTAGGGCAAAACAGTTTCTAATTTAAAGGTATAAAGCAAATTTATTTTTAACAGAGTAAGAGGAGGATAATGAGAAGTAAAACAAGCCTTTAAAACATTTTTTCTCCCCAGCCTTTCCCTCTTTTCCCACCAACAGTGCAGGGAGGCAGGGCGTGGGGGTGTTGGTCCATTCATCACTTGAGATGATCTTCCATTTGCTCGGGGAGAGGAGTCTTTTCTCTGCTGTGCCGTGGGGTCCCTCCCACGGGCAAAGTCTTCCCAAAACTGTTGTGGTGGGTCACAAGTCCACGGGGTGCAGTCCTCTAGGCTGCTCTGCTTTGGAAGCAAGGGCCTTCTCTCTCTCTCCGGAAGCAGGGCCCTTTTCTTTCTGTTCTGGTCTCCTACTAGATCACAGCTTCGTGCTTTACAGGAACAGCCTGCTTCACCATGGGCCTCGCCGTGGCCTGCAGGGGAGTCTTGGCTGTGAGCTTGGAGCACCTTCTCCCCTTCTTTTTCCACTGACCTTGGTGTCACCATGTTCTTTTCCCTCACGTATCCTCACTTCCTCCTCTGATTAGAAGAAAAATTGCTGCTCCTAGCTACCATTGCCAGCAAGTTCTGCCAATGCAAAGATTGCTGCGGGATCTCTCAGTGCTGAGAAGTTCATCTCTAGATCTGTGCTGGGGAGTCTCTTGCCGTGTTTTCACTGCTGGCCAGGCAGCCCTGCCATGGAAGGCGCTGTTTGAGGCCTCTCCTCGTGCGGGATGCCAGCATGGAGAAGCCACTGCTCCCCCCTGCCCTTGTGCCCACAGCACGGCCGGCTCGGGGCAGCCAGGCAGGCTCGGGGCAAGCACGGCCAGCTCGGGGCAGCCAGGCCGGCTCGGGGCAGCCAGGCAGGCTCAGGGCAGCCAGGCAGGCTCGGGGCAGCCAGGCAGGCAGGGCTTGCCACAGACCACACCAGGATGGTGCTGTCCATGGCGCCCCACCACCACTGCGAAAAAACTGTGTGTGCAAGCTGTTTTGATTTTCTTCCCAAATTATGTCATCACAGAGGCATTACCACCCTCTCCAATTGGGCCAGCAGCCCGTCCATCTTCAGAACTATCAGAGATTGGCTCTGTCAGACATGGTGGGAGCTTCTGGCAGCTCCTCACAGAAGCCATCCCCCGCCAATAAAAAGCGAGGCCATGCCAAATCAACACTCTCTAATCGGGATGTCAACTGCAAAGATAGTGGTTCTCTTATTTTCACGGTGTTCACACGTGTACTTCCAAGTATCTTATCCTGTCTTGAAACAATTAAATGCATTGACCAGTCTCCATATAATTCCAATAAAAATTATGATTTTGCCAGTAAAATTCCTTTCCTGAGAATGTAATGTTGTTTGTAAAATTTATAGTCACGTCTTCTATTTTACTGTCTCAAGCATTATTAAATCAACGTGCTGCGAATTTATTCACTGCTGTACAGTCAGTTCATTCTTGTCTATATTGTTCAACTTTTTTTTTTTTTTTTTTTTTTTTGGTCTTCTTTGTCTTTTCTTTGAATGGCATGTTAGCTCACTTTCAGCTTTGGAATTTTTAAGTGCCTATCGAAACCTAATTAAGCAAGCCAGAAATTTTCCTTGTTGGTTCTTCTAAGTCTCTCTGATGTATGCTATGTATACACTGGTGAAATATGTAGCAGATGGCTTTGTAACTTTTTCGTTACTTGCTAGCACTTAATGGGATGTTACTACACTGTGTTCATGGGAGGCAAGGTCTCGATCTTTTCTATAGTTTCAGCCATTTCCATGTAGTATTCTTTGTCATTGTTAAGAGTGTTCTTAATATTAACAGTCTTCTAAACTTTTTCTGCTGTCTTTAACCCTGGTGATTGTGTCCTACCCATCCTTGAGTCTGGTCCTTAGCTTTTTCTCACTATTTTTTCTGTGTTCAGAATTTCTTACTGATATTGATTGCTGTCAGTCTCTCATGTTCTTTCTGTTCATTAGGTGTATTTTAATTGCTATCTTTGTTTCACTTCATAACTAGAATAGGCTTTAAGAAGAAACTTAAACTTTGCACCAGTTATGTATTTGAGATGAGAAGTGTCTTCTGTTTGCTTGGAACCATATAATCAAAAATGATCACTGATAATCAAGCAGCTAGCTATTTGAAATTCAATTATACTAGTCTTTATCTGTTCTTATCCAAACTAATTAGCATGTTTGTGTGGAATACCTTTTATGTTTCAGGTATGGTACTGGGCTGTCGCCAGGGAATGGTGTGAGCTTTAGTTAATGTGTATATGTATGGCTTTTCTGATCCTAGGAAGAGAGCCATAAAATCCATTATATTATTGCTTGCCTATACTGTTCTTACATAAGTTAATAAGGTGTTAGACTGCTTGCAGAATTTGGCCCTTTAATAAGAAGCATTAATTTAATAGGAGGTCAGTAATTTCAAGGGTGGTGTGGAAGAGAAAATCATTGTGCAATATCTTAGATGATGTTTACAGTTGGATCTAACACACTAGATACCAGTGTGCCATATTATCTGCTTAGAATGATTTAAATAAACAAACATGACCTATGTTTCCCTTTCAGAAAAAGAAATCGCGTAAATCATCATACATGAATAATATGTCATAAAATAGTAGGTATGCAACAGGAAGCAATTGTGATTTAAATTATTTCTGCTCGTACTATTCAAGTATGCTAGTGACATCTGCAAAGGTATTTGGCAAATCCAGTAGTAGGCTATTATGTAAAGTTAACTGAAAGTTAAATCAGGTTTTATTTGCAATCTTTCTGTATACTGTACTATAAACATGCATAGAGCGTGTTTGTAGAGCAATATATGTGTCTGTCTTGTATTGTACCATAATTCTACATAGAGGTCACTAGCTCTTCTTTTATGGTGTGAGTCACCAGTTTAGGTAGTAAAAATTAATTGTAAGTATCGCTTAATGCAGTGGATATTAACTGAAGATCTTGCCATACCAGAATCAAAAAGTGAGACAAGTGGTAAGAAGAATTAAATGGAAGTATGCTGATGTCACTGGGACATTGCTCATAAGGAGTTATTTTGGCATGGAAAGATCTTTTGAAGTTCTTAGTGAGATTCTATATTCTGTCAAAGACAGAAGGCCCAAGTAGAGTACTGCTGACTAAAGTAGAAATTGACCTATACTTTGGTGTAACATACCTTCTTTTAAGCAAGGTAAGTAGGATGGTTATTTCTCTTAAAATTGTAAACTCTAATCTTGAATGTTTTTTATGCATGAACAATTTCATGTGTAGGATCAGTTTTTGAAAAGTATGGCAGCTCACTTGAATAAGACTGCCCACATAAATGTGTATAGAAATTGAGCATTAAGTTTCTGCACCAAATGTCAACATAATTCATGCAGTTCTAATTATATAGAAATTATATAGGAAACTTCTTGCAAAGACAGACCTGTGATAATATATTGAGCTTAAATTGAATCAATGTACTCATAACACGAACTTATGCAGAGTTGCTAGTTTAAGTATAAAAGCCAGCATACTTAAAGCAAGGCTTTCATACTGTCAACCTGAATACCACAAAAAATTTTATATGTCTCATTCAGGCAGCTTAAATACGTGACAACACTCAAGTGTTGTCATACATCAAATGTAATAGGCAGGCATATAACTCAATATTGAAGGCATATGAGAATATCTTCATACCTGTTCATTTAAGTAGCACTTCAGAAAATACAAGTGTTATAGGTGCAAAATTTACTGCAAAGATGGTGTCAGTATTTCTCACCAGCAAAATTTCCTCATCTTAAAGTGACAGAGAAGTCTGTATTTCCTTTAGTACAGAACGAAGAAAATGAAGATATATTTGGCTTACAGCTATTTGGGGTAAGGACAGTTTGTTGCCATGTATTGCAGGGCGCCTTATGCAATGGGATCTCAGTCCTTAGTCATTTCCGTAATAAATAGAGTTAGTTATAGTAAAGGCAATAAATTGGTCTTTCTTATCTATGTCTTCCCAACAGGGTACAAGCTTCACACTGTACTTTACTTGTTCTTTTCCTTCCCTAGGAGTACTGAAACTACATTTTATACTTCTTTATTCCATGCATACGCTCCTTTCTGATGTGTATTACTAGATTCTTGATTCTTTTGAGTTCATTCCTGTTTTTTTAATTATGATTAAATATTTGCCTTTTTTGGTCTGTGTAGTTTTTTTTAAGTTTTTTTTTTTAACTTCTCCAAAAACAATCTCTTAAAGTTCCTAACTGTTAAAATAGCTGTCTTTTCAGGAGACAAGAGAGAGGGAAGAAGAAAAAATGTGTTTAAGCAATAAAGTTCATTTCAATGTGGGTTTTGCTGTTTTGGTGAGCAATCTGAGAAAAAACATAAAAACATTTGTTTTATTTTGGCATATTATTTAAAATATTACTTATTCAGATTACAATATAAGTTAGAAATTTACTATTTGCCTTTTTTTACATAATACTCTCTACCTTTTTTCTGCCAGTATGGTATCTATGTCACTCTTCAGTAAATTTGTGTGAAAGTAATTTCTGCTTGTTTTTTACAGGAACTTTATAGTGGTAGCAAAGACTGCAATATCCTTGCATGGATACCAGCTCCACGAGAACCAGTTCCTGATGATATATCTGAAAAGGTAGTGAATTTTCGAGTTTGAACTGTATTTCTTTATTGCTGTTATGGTTGGGCAGGTTGTATGGAAACTCAGTATGAAATATGTGATTCACCATCAGCATTTTTAACAATTCCTAATTTAGAGGAGAATCACCTATTACTTTTGTGCGATCTTTTGATTTTGGTAGGGTTTTTAGAAGATGTTTTCTCTTATAGTCTAGTGAAATCTTTTGTTGGCTGCTAGCTTCCTACTTAGTTAAGAGTAGTTAATGCCATTTGACTATGGGTCTTTCAAATTCTGTTTCTTTAATTTCCAAACTGCTTTCTGCAGTTTGTCCTGTTTTGGAATTATAGAGGTGATAAATTGTATTTTAAATTGTTTAAGGATATAAAGAAAACTGTGTATTAAGCGGTAAGATTAGGGATACCACACTTCATACGCAAATATTTTTGATGTGAAAATATAATAAAGGAGTTTCTAAATAAGTTTATTTTTATGCCCAAGGCAAGACATTCAGAGTGATTGCAGGGAAGATCATACGTATGACTGTTTTCCAGCAGAGTACTATCTCTCTCTCAGAGGCAAGAAATATTTCAGTGAACAGCCTGAGTGGGAAACAGTCTGTATTTTAAGGCACTGAAATAATTTCCAGAATCAGATTCTGGTGAACTGTCCTAATGTTGAAAAATAAGGGTTTTGGCCCATAGCATATGAAAATTCCACTTTTTAAAATTTCAGCATTGTTCCATTTTAGATGGGGAAATTATAAGATGCGTAAAATTGTTGTAACATTTGCTTTTTGTACGTTTTTGTATTTCAAAACTCTCCTACACTTAAGCAGAGAGGAGAAATATAGTTCCAAAGGTTTGATACCCTAAACCCAAAATGTGTTGACATGAAATTAATATTTTTGCTGTGAAAATTTTGATGTGAATAAATTGTAATTTTTTTAGTCTGAAGAAAAGACCACAGCAAGAAGTTTATTTATTTATCTCTGGTTAGAACTACTCCTTTAAATTTGACATAGTGGCAGTATGTAATATATGCCATTGTTTTGAAACCTTTTAAACTACAGCTGCTGTTTGCATATGCTGTAGATGGACCTTGTCTCTGTAAGAAGCTGTTTTGCTGTCCACAGGCCACTAATTCCTGCTTCTTCTCAGGTGCTAGAATAGGCATTTGAGTGCTTGTATGTACTGAATCTGAACCCAGAATAGAAGTAAACAAGAAAAAAAATTTACCCTACATGACTGTGATTCAGTGCACTGCATAACTATACAAACCCTTTAGGTGGACCCTAGTGGGGCTGAGGTAAGAAATATTTCTTGGACGTGGATAGAAGCCAGAACTACTTCCTGAAACTGTAGTGCTAAGTTATGATAGACCGAGGATATTATGACAAGGATATCATGTCTGTAATCAGCAGAATGTCTAAAAAAGTAGTTAGAAATAATCCAGTACTCCAGAGAGATAGAATAGTTTGTCTACATGCAGTCATTTAAAAAGTACATTTAGCTTTACCCTTACTTGATTATAGTATTTTTAATTAAGCAAAATACTGAGAATTTTTATTTTCTCTAGTCTCTGCCTCAACAGCATTTAAATCCAGCATATGAAGACGCATGGAGCAGCAGTGATGACGAAGGCTGAATTTAAATTATGAGGTGATATAAAATTGCCATTCAGGCACTGCATTCACAGACTTTATCTACAGAATTTAACATTGTTGGATTTATCACAACTGGATTTTAGGTACAGTTCTGTTAGAGCAAGGTCTTTCAGAAATAAGTTTCCACTGTTCTCTCTGTTTTTTCATCACTGTAAAGTTAAATCCAAAGGATTACTTTTTCATACTTGCCGACTTTTGTACTTACACCTTGGTATACTTTATTCAGTGTTGAACAGCTGATAAAGAAAAAATAAAAGCCCTTGGGACCACTCAAAATTACATTGTTTCTGTTATCATTAGTACATGAGGAGATAACCCATTAATTTCCAAGATATATGATACAGAGTATTTTCCATGAAAGAAGGCTAGCTCAGAAATACTTCTAACTTACTTTTATCACTGTCTTGGTGGAGCAGATTGTATCAATTTTCAAATGCTTATGTGCTGTGGGAGTCAACAGATTTTTGTGCCTGGTGGTTTTTGCATTTTCAGTTTTGCATGTTTTTCCATAAATATAGTATTCACTTTAGAAAGAGGTATAACTGAGATCCTCCGTTAAAGTATTTATATGGTGACTCTATCATCTAATATCTGAAACTGACCCAGAAAGCTAAGAATAGAAACTAGTTTAGATACTTTGTTGCTCCTCTTAGCAGTTTTTTAAGATCAGTCTTCTATATATGAATCACACATCCTTAGCAAACGTGAAGGACAGCAACAGGGTTGAGGTAGAGTACAAGGCAGAGAGTAGATCACATTTCAAGTTAAAAATATTGAATGTAATCCTTCCAAATTGTTTTCATCTAAAACATTTTGTGGTCCTAGTGCCTGCTCTGTTTTGAAAGGGAGGAGTTTTGCAGGGTTATTGTCTCATCTCAGTCACTAGTTTGTGCTTCAGACATAATGTAGTCTCTGTCACTAAAGAATGTTTTCAGATTGCTTAAAGCATCACCAGCAAAGGTATCAGTAAAAACAGGTCCATTATAAAAGCAACAGCATGACGAGGTTCATTGGCAAGGTTCACTCTTAAGGGCACACTGAGGAAAAGCAAACAAAAATCCAGAGTCAATCAATCCAGTCCAAAATAAACCAAAAATTATGCCACATATCTTATAACTGAAGTGAAACGATTTAGCAAAAGACTCATACAGGATTTACTATGTCACAACAAGTAACTTACAGGCCTAACTTACAAATCTAAAGTACTTTGAGAATCTAAGAGAGCAGCATTTCTTGTGCATTTGGTACAGAATATGCACACTTGCATGCACACAGACACAAAGAGCCTGTACAAGGTGAAAAATTCCCCTCGAGGGAAGTGAAATACCCACTTCAGATGCCTTTGTGAAGGGTGGAGCCTCAGGGAGTCGGGGGTGTCACTGTTCAGGGATCTTCTGAGTGCAGCAAACTTGGGAGTTCCCTGGCTCTGAGAGGCCCCGCTCAGAGGGGCTTCACTGGTCACAGCTGCTGCTCTAGGGGAGCTTAAAGGGTCTCACTTTGGAACACTGTTTGTAGGGCTGCAAGAGAGGGGGCTTTGATGATAACAATGTTCCATTCTGGCCATGCTTTGGGATGGAAATTTTATTTGAAAGTCTGAGAAGAAAACATATTATGCCACTTGGGTTCTTACTCAGGCAAAAAAGTGTCCAGGGCTGTTCATTGAAACACAGGATCTTGTTAGACATCGTGAATTCCTGGGAACAGACTGTGTTTTTACTGGTAAGTTAAGAGAGGCTTAATCTGGGTGCTGTTCCTAAGGAGCATTTCTCAGAACTCATCAGGAGAGGGATTTGATGCACTATCGCCAAATAACCTTTTGCATGCCAATTTTTGCCTAAGTTGCACCATGAATTAATGCAATGTGAGATTCAGCTCAAGAAGAGATGGGCTCTGAAATACTTGTCCAAGTATCTTACCCAGATGCCTTTAGGGTTTTGCCTAAGTTGCACCATGAATTAATGCAATGTGAGATTCAGCTCAAGAAGAGATGGGCTCTGAAATACTTGTCCAAGTATCTTCTTACCCAGATGCCTTTAGGTTTAGTGTCTCAAACAGTTGAACATAGAAATTAGTTGCCTTGGGGGGCTTCTTGCATGTACTGGCAGCTAATATCTTCTTCATAGGAGTCCTTCCAAATCCTCTTCTGATATTAGTTGGTGGTATTATTCTCCCTCTTAACTGATGTCCTCTGCTAGAAGGAGAGGTGTTTCTGATGAGGGAAATGAGAAACACCTGTTTCTCATATGGGCAAGAATCCAGACACAGTCTACAGCCCAGCTTCTGCAAGCCTTCTACCTAATGACAGTTGCTGATATATGGTGTTTAGTTTGTGAGGTTTAAAACCTCTTGGTACTAGCCAGCATCTCAAACAGCAATTTGCGGGAATATTCTACTTTGACGAATGGTATTTTTGCTATTCTTTCCTCCACTGATTCTTTCTGTAGTTGTGTTAAATTTTTTAAGCTTTTTATAGAAAAAAATGTATTTTATATCTTCTGCATTCTTATGGTGGCTGTACTTAAGTGCTGGTGTCTTCAAAATGAAAAATTTTAAAGAGTAGTGAAGGTGTACTGTATACAATTTCTCACTGCCAAGAGCTAAGTACAAAGTCAACACTATTAGATGCAACTGCAATCTCTGTCTTGTGTGCAAGTTAAATGTTATAATTAAATCTGACTTTTCCCCTTTGTTTATGCCTTTCTGCTTATATGCTTATGGCATGAATTTTTATAGTATCAAAACTCTTTCAGAATCTGAAATGGAGCAAGTAGAGTAGTACAGACTTAATCATGCTTCCTATCCTTACCATCAGTCAGAAAAAAAACCTATCCGAAACTCCAGTCAAATGTCAAAATGGGTGCTCTGTTCATACTGGTATAAAATTATTCACTTGAGAGACAACTAGCTCATAGCTGGATTCGTGCTGTTAAGAGTAGTAAAGGTTAAGAGTTTAAGGAAAGAGCTTAGGCTGCAATGAACTGCATTCTTATCTCACTGGTGGTACTGGGATTTAGTACTCATACTGTATCAGCTAACATAGAGAATCTAATCTTGGATTCTAGAGAAGTTAATCTTTTCAAGCTGTTCTGGGAATTGAATATTGCTTAGAAGACTTTCTTTGTCTGCCTAGGCAGAGATTTTTATTTCAGCTTGATACAATAAGTATCAAAAGATGGAGAAGAATTTATTTGTTCTTACAAGAGATCAAAGAGTTTTCTTTCTCCTCGAGCGTAAGGAAACAATGAAGATGGTGCCAGACTGAGCTAGTCCAACTGAAGAAATACAAAGAGCCTAAGACAAGTCTCCTTCAGCTTAAGTGAAAGTTGAGTTCTGTGGAGGCAGTAAGATAGAACTCTGATTATTTATGCCTAGTTTACGAGGCTCAGAAAGTATCTGATACTAAGACAACCAAGAAAAACCTCGTTCTTGTTTTTTTCCTGTAGACAGATCTGGAAGAAAGCATTAGCACGTGAGAATTTCTACATAGCTATCTCCCAAGTAGTGGGAATAACAAATTAGCACTATATGCTTACTTCCCTTGGCCTTTTTTTCTGTGTACTGGCTCTTGCACACAGACTGACAAGTCTTAAAATGTAGGGATTTCTTTGCTACCTTTTTTTCATTGTTTGTAGTCAGTCCAGCTTCTCAGGAGACATCTGGGGATTCTTTTAGGCAAGAATGATTTCCTCAGTCAGCTTAGGACCCAAAATTTTAGAATCCAGTCATAGTAAACCTGAAAAAAATCTCAGATTTGGCAACATCAATAGGATTGATTGTTATGTTTTTCTTCCTCTTTTTTTTTAATACTTGTATTATACTTCCTATCTTACCTTGAATGTATACATACACACATATCTATGCACACAAGATATAAAAGTATTTTAAATACTACTGCTTTGGTACCACTGATGGATAGTTCTTGGTTTTATTCCTACCTCATTGTCACATGGAGGCAAGAGTCTGGTTCATGTAGCTGAGAATTGTAAGCTCTTTAGTGCACACTGGCCTAGCATCTGCCATAGTGAATGGGTAAGCTTACTGCTAGCTTAGTACACATAAAGTTTGCAATACCTAGTCACATTATGGGCATATCAGTTAAACAACAGCATCTGTGCAAATATGGGGCTTTTTTAGCATGGTTAAAGTAGTCCTTAAAGAAATTGGCTGCATATTTAGCCACCAAAATGTGTGCTGAGGTTTTGGCACCTGAGAGATGTTTATGAAAGCAGTATATTAGTTTCAGTGGTCAGCAGTTAGTGGTTATAATAAAAAGTATGTAAAACATATCAATAAAATCCTTTTGTGTGGTTAAGGATGAGTTATGAAATGATCATACATACCTTCTTTAATCCTTCACCGTTTTCTTTTAGTCTGTTTTATAAAAATAATGGAAATGGAGGATAAAAAGGGATGACTGAGTGGCCAGGAATTCAAACAGGTGCATAACTACTCCCCACATGTTCATCCCTTCTAATCGTGTCTGTGTGTGTAGTCAGCGTTACCCACCAGCTCACATGCTCTGCCCAGATGACAACTAACCGATGTCATCCAGCATGCCGGCAACCCGTAACCACGCCCAGTCCTGCCAAATTCCATTGAACCCAAAAGACTGAAAAGAAAATATTTGGGGCTATTAAGGAAGCATTTTATTTACACATGAAAGAATAGTTTAATTGCATAAGCATACGGCATTTTTCCTAATTTTCATTTTATCACCATTTGCCTTCAAATTAAGTTAGGAAAAAACCAGTATCTTTTTAGTGACATATTTTAGCTTTGTGCTAAGGAGTTTTTCAGATACTCACTGAGATCTGTACAGTGGGAAGATTACAAATCCACCCTTTTCTTAGAGCTGTGAGGCAGAGATACATCTCCAGTCCTAAACAGGTTTTGTAATAAATTTCCTCATGCCGAAATGGAGATTATAATCAGCAGTTAAAATCAGTCCAACCAGTTATTTTTACAGCCATATGTTTGTAATCTAAAGTAACATGTTTAAGCAAGAACCAGGTAATGTATTCAGCAACAAAAATGATACGTATATGCCTTTGTTTAATACAAAATGGATTAACATGGGAGGCAGAGAAAAGGGGCCTATTAAAAGATTTTTTTTGCTGTTCTCTTCACATTTCCAAAATAATGAGCATTGTCTCTTTCTATTGCTTCTAATTGCAAGGCATTTACTGAATTGACTACTTTACATTAACAAAAGGTATTAGCTCCCAACAGAATTATTAAAACCTTCTAAGAAAATTTTGAATCATATTTTTAGAAAA